CAGCAACGTTTGACTTCAGACTGTTTGCAGCTTTGAGGAGGATCAGCACGCACAAAAAGAGCGTTTCTTCCCTTTGAGCTGGCTGCCGTGCTTGGAGTTGTTTCAACTTGTGGGAGCCTGCGCCGGAGCATCGGGGAGGCAGGATTTTCCCTGGGAAAGCATGCTGGTGTAGCAACCCCCTGCTCCCCTCAGGGGAAGGTTTGCTTTCCCAGGGTGTCTCGGAAGGGATGGCTGCTGTGCAAGCGGCAGCGGGTGATGCTTAGGCAGTGCCCTGCCATTGTTTGGATGTTCTCATGCAGCGAGTGGCTCGGCTGCAAGGCTGGAGACACAGGACACTAGGGATAAATTTTAATTATGGTTAAGGTAGCATTCAACTCATCCCAGGTGAGGAACTGTGCCTGTTACGTTCACACACAGAGCTAGCAGCTGTGCTCTTGGAGGGCTGGCGGGGCCTTCCCATGCTCCCCATTAGCACAGGCTTCAAGTCAAGACCACGAGCAAGTTCAGTGTCACCATCGCAGAGTCGCTTGTGGGCAGAGCTTTCCTGTAAGTCAGCATGCTGTGGTCTCCCGGCTTTGAAGTCTTACTCTGCTCTATTCCACCTGGTGCACCTAGTGTAGCTCCCTTCTAAAGTTTTATTTTCTCTTTCTGTGTCATAGAAAGGCTTCAACAGTAGTGAGTTTTGTGGGCTGGGCAGAAAGCCTTCAGTCATGTAGCCTCTAATCGCTGCAAAACCTGGTGCATGCCTTAATCTTTGAATCTCCTCAATGCTTTGTGAACTGTGGACCACCTGGAAGCTGTACTGTAACTGCCTGAAGGGGTGGACAACGTCAACAGATTCCCAACAGAGAAGTGAGAAAGGAATGCTCGTTACTGGAGTGTAATCAATATCTGTGGAAAACCAATTCCCTTTTCACTAAAAAAAAACAGGGGGAAGGAATTTCACTGTAACACCCAGAGAAACCTGCTTGTAGTGTTTCTAGAAGTTGTAATTATACATGCAATATGTCCGGGAAGGAGGTCGTTCCAGTAAGCTGCTAGGGCTGCTCATTCCTTCACTTGCATGAGGGAGGAAGGAAAAAAAAATTAGGTGAGTCTGAAAACCCAGCCTCCTGTGGGAATTGGCTTGCAGCTTTGTTCACCCTGAACCCACCATGACAGCTCTTCTGAGCGGCGTCTGTGGGGAGAGGGTTTATGGTGATGGCCGTGCAATTATGGAGACCATGGAGGTGTCGATGCTGTGCTCTGGCATGCATCTGCAACGCAAGTGTTGCCTTCAGGTAAGCCATGGGGTCCCACCACGCTTAGCAGTGGCACACAGGGGCCTGCTCATCTGGGGCTTAGTCGTATGTAGTAGCTCAGAGCTACAGTTCTGGTTATCCTGTCTGTTGTGTGTACTTAATCTGAATCAGGTAGGCAGTGCTTTGCTGTACCTTGTTTTAAAGCTGGGGATTTTGTTGGCCCCAAGATCTAATCCTTGCCTCGGTGTGCTTTAATGCATGAACAGATTGCGATTTTTAGCTAAAAATAACCCCTATGAAGGCATTGATTAGGTTACATCGCAGTCTGCTAAGTATTGTGGGGTGGCTGTTTTCCAGGACCTACAAGTTGCTTGGTTCAAATTAGAATTACCTGTAGCACACACAGGAGTAGCACTGGATTACAATAATCCCCTTAACAAATGTGAAAAAGCAGGTGTTCACTATGCAAAAGTTAGTGCTGCCAGTTCTGTGCACCTCTTGCACATGGCATTTCTCTGCCGAATCGCCAAACCTGTCACTTCATGTTTGCAGGAAGCAGAAACGTAGTGGCAGAACAAGGGAGGCCTTTGCAGGGCAGAGTTCAATGTAGGTATTTATGTTGGTATAAATAGATGCTACTCCACTCTGCATCGAAGTAAACCTGATACAGGAAGGTAAAACTTCGATCCCAGTCATGCACTCCCCTTGTGTGCCAGATGGGCTTGTGTCCCAGCTCTGCCCTTGCCTCAACAAACCCTTAAGTGCTTGTGCTCCATCTGTGCAAACCTGTGTCTGCGGAACAGCGTCCTGCGGATTTTGACCGTCGTGCTGCCTTATCATTTGGGAGGTACCTTCTGCAAAACTCTGCAGCTATGGAGGCAGAGTGTATTTATCTAAAGACTTGAATAACTTTCCCTCTCCAATTTCTCAGGAGATGGGAAAGGAGAGGGAATGTTTAACTAAACAGGTCTGTCTTCTGTTTAGCAGTGAGCCCATTATTAGCTAAACAGGCAGCAGCTCAATCTCACCTTCTAATGCCCCTTGAAAACTGTTGCAGAAAGCTTTACCTGAATCGCAAAAGCCGACACCTGGATGAGGAACTTGGGGTTTCTATGAGGTTTTTGCCACGCACAACTAATTGACTTTCGTCTTGCTTTGCTGGAGTCTGTGGGGTGAAAAGCTGACGGTTCAGGGCAGCTGCTATGCTCAGACACCTCTGCAGGTGTCCCTCAGATAGCTCGTTTCCATTAACGTGCCCAGGCACTGTCAGGAGCCTCTGTCTAGGTCGGTGGTTTCCAAGGCACAGTAACGCGTTTCAGTACGTGTCGTGATGGGACCCATCTAGCAGCTCAGGCAGCATTGGGTGGGGGTGATCTGAGCTGGTTTTATTCTAGAAGCACAGCTGTAGTCCTGAACAGGGATTCTGGGCATCTATTGTAGCTTCAGGCTAGTAGGGCATCATTGAATCTCCTCTTGGCAGGCGAAGGAGGCCTTGCTTTCTGCCAGGTGAGGGTGATGCCCCCATGACAGGCCCTGTGTGGTGGTGCTGGAGTCTTGTTTAGTCCCTGTCCAAGAGGAACTTCTGAGGTGACTAAACTCCTGTGCCACCAATGGCCAGAAATCAGGTGCAGGTTCTGGCTTCCTCTCCGCTGTTGTTGGCACAAGGCATTTGTTTAACTTCATGTGGTGTCAGGTTAGCTCACCTCTAATTGCCTGGTCTCTAACTGTTGGTCCTAAGAGTTTGCATGGCAAAATATTGAAGGTGAGTGCTGATGTATGTTGGTGGGGGTTCGCTCCGAGGGTGGGGGGTAGTGCATGGAAATGACCACTCTCTTGCCTCTGCCCATGTTGCTCCAGGGTCAATGCTACCAGCTGGCTGCTCACACGTGTTTCCCTAAAGCAGAGCTGGAACTGTGAGAGAAACCTCTGGGGGGAAAAAGTGCCAGCAAAAGACTTAAAACTGTCATCTGATGACGTCTGGGTGGACTGATTAGCCTGAAAATTAAATTGAAGGGTTTTTTTTTCTTTAAGGGTAGAACTTGTTTGCAGCCAACAGCTTAGTAGCTGAAGTGGTTTTGCAGGCTGATGGTGACATTTCATTATCAGGAATCCCCACACTACATCTTGTATTGCGCATAACCACAAGCTATATTTGACTAGTGAGACATGCAGAAGCGGAGGGGAATAAGGCAGAACAAGTTTTTTTTGGCAGGCTTTTTATTTTCTTGTTGTCACAGCCTGTTCTTCCACACTTTCTTCTGTGCTTATGAAAGGAAGTCTCAGCGTCTGACTTGACCCATGCTTAATTCTTTACTTGCTCCTAACACCTGTCTCAAGCTCATTTTATAATGGACATATAAGCTTTAATTCATTGTAAAGGACAGCAGTAATTTTTTTTCCTCTTCTCTGTGATGTACTTCTCATTACAAGGAGCTTTCTGAATAAATGATGGGTTAGTCACACTGAGGAGAGTCGCTAGACATCATGCTTAGCCATCTTGGATCAAAGGCATTATGTGAACAAGCTAGAAAATGAGTAAGCGCTTTCTCAAATGCGTCTGATAGCTGAAAGTTGGATAAGGTTTCTCTTAATGGAGGTGGGGGAAATTGGTCTCCCCATTAAAAAGTGTTTGGCTGGGAGTTTAGCTAAAAATAGCTCTTCTGTAGCAGCATTTATTCTTCCACTGTGTAATATCTATTATAAATGTTGTGCAGCTGATGGTGTAATGCAGTGAGACTGCTGACTGGCCAGTCTTCAAATCCGCTTTTCTTGTATTTAGTTTAGAAGGAGGCTAGTGACAATTTGCTCATCTCCCTTTCTCCCTTTTTTTTTCCTCCTAAGAACTTCTCTGTTATATTGGGAGTGCCTGAAGTTCCTGCAAATAGCATGAAGTGTCCTCAAGCACTTGCTTGTCACCGAAATGCAAGCAGCTTTGTTCTGGTCTGTACTTGGTGACCAGAGTTACTTGAAATGTCTTCCTACCGTGAAACCCTTGGCTCTGCTCATGGCTTGTAATGATGTTCAACTGAATAAGTGAAATCTGTTGTTAAAATCTGGATGGAGTTTGCCATCTGTCACCAACTGTTTAAAAGCAGAGCACACCTCAGTATTTGCTTCCCACTGAATTTGCATTGGAAACACACAACAACATTTATGGTTCACAGCCAAATTTCACTCAAACATTTCTCAATTGTTTCTGAAGATACAGAAGCAAAGGCTGATCTGTGGCTTTGCTCAGTGTCTAAGGAAGTACTCCGCAGCACTGCCAAACTTAGAAAAGAGGTGTTAAAAAGTAGCAGCAGAGCAGGGAGGGAGCTGGATCCGTTATAGAAAGGGTCCCTAAGCCACCAGCTGTGTACCTGGCATCCCTGAGCTCCTGGAGGTACCGCAGTCCCTAGCGACCTCGCTCTGTATATGGTTTATTTCTGACTTCATGTAGTTCAAAGGCACAAAGTTAAAATGTAAGTCACCAAACTGTTGAGTCTAAAATAATGACAATGTGTGTCCTCTATGGTAGTAAGGAGTGCTGTGGAGAGGAATGAATTATAAATGTGGTTCACTTATGCAGCTCATAAGTAATCGGACGTCCCTTTCAGCTGAACAAGCAGATGGAGGTGGCACTTATTCCATCAGCTCATGTTGAGCCTGCAGATGCCAGTTAGAAACTTTCCAGTCTGTTCTTCAGTACTTGAACATCAAAGACAATGACTTTGATACAACATCTGGGAACTGAGCATGGATTCCTCTTCTCCTTTGCAGGTGCTGAAAGCATTGTTGCAATTATGATTGACAACCTGAAAGGCATGGAGATCTTACACCGGATTGAGAGTGGCTTGAGAGTGACCATGGTTATTGAAGTGGGGAAAAAGCATGGTCCTTGGATGAATCAATACTCCATCTTTTTCATCTCGATGTTGCTTGTCATTGTCACAGCAGCAACCGTGGGATACTTTGGTTTTTATTCTGCTTGGAGATTTAGGATTGCAAGGGCCCAGTCCGAGAATCAGGTGAGTCTCTGTGTGCCATTGCTTTTTTGAAACCCTGAGCCTTCATTCTGTGGGTCTTGAGGGCAAAATACTGGTTGAGCACCAAAATTACTGAATTTGTTCCTTCCACAGGAAGGAGAGAGTGTGATCTTTAAAATGCAAAGAGATATATTTTTGAACAGCTTAAAACTTTCCAAAGAAACAGCAAAAAGTAAACCGTCTGGAGAAAGCAACTGATAGTGTTTAGCTAACTTCATCTCCTACAAATTTGACTCCCTGAACTTCAGTGCAGCCGTAATGCTGGTGTATTGGAGGCGGTGAGAGAGCTCAACTGCTTTTAGCTGACCCTCACACTTCCCACATAGCACTGCCTATGTGCTAGCTGTAATGTGAGACACGACTGAGAATATGTCTGCAAAATGGTGCATGACTTTGGCTTCCTTTCTGTAGACCGCAAGTTGGGAAAACTGCTGCTTGTTGAAAGCGGCTTTCTGACGGAAAGCTTCTGAGAATTGCAGTGACAGCCTCAATTAGGAGTTGAAAAAAAGAGGACTGTTAAACTGTGTTCTTTTTAAACCCCAGGCAGGGAGCTGCTAATGAGTTAAGTTTCCAAGTAAGTCTCTTCTGTGCAATAATCTGATCAGCTGATAGGACTACTGCTTACAGCTTTGTCTTCAGTCTGAGCAGACCCGCCTTATACCTGCTCCTTCAGGGCTTAAGCAAGAGCCTTAGACATAAAGTCCTGGCATGACATCTGTCAAAGGTGATGGGCAGCAGCAGGAACAAGATCTGAGTGGCTCAGACGTGAGTACTTCAGCCTTGCCCGTACAGCTGCTTTGCAAAGGAGACCGTTGGTATTTGCAGTGCTTCTTGCGGGAGCTGCCTGAACTCTGAAAGAAGAGTTTTTACAGAGTCCTTCCCTACAGACAGCGATAGCACGAGCATCTTGCTCTAGCTGGGCTCAGAGGGTGTGAATTATCTCTGGATTAGTGGTTAGAGAGTTAAAGAAGGGACAGATGTCTCTGCCATTGTAAAGACCTGCCCCACTGAGCTTCTCTGGTGTCCTGGAGATTGCAGGGCCCTTGAGCAAGATCCTTCTGAAATAAGCTGGTAAAGCTAGAAGTTGGACACAAGTGTTGAAATCCAGGCCAGTTTCAGGCTTCTGTAACATTTTAGGACTGGCACCTGTAAAGTGTTAATGTGCAGAACTATTGCTGTTCTTGGCAGGCGAAGAGACTAGCTGGAGCGAATGACAGCAGTACTCCTGGAGTTGAATGCTGGGTTCTATCTAGTAATCACAGAACTGAACTCAGTGGAGTTTGTGTTCTGAAATCCTGTTGTCTAAGTGTAACCTTGCTGATGATGGTCGGCTGGCTATCTGCATACTGCGCCTAGAGATCTAACAGTGAGCTCAGCTGGATTTATGCCTCATCTAAGCTGTGTCTGCCTCAACTTCTGGACCAGGCCTCCTACAAGTGCTTTGTTTTAGCCCGTTTATATCTTCTGGTGTTACGCCACACCTGGAAGTGGTGTGAGGATGCAAAAAGGGAATAAGGATGCAATAAGGGAATAGTTGGAAGAGCAGTATTGCAAGTTGTCATCTGCCTGTGGGATGTAGCATTGCCACTCCTGGATGTCCTATGTCTCTGGAGTACTTTTCATGAGGGATGGTACAGAGCTCTGTAGCTTGATGCTGTCCTCTTGCTGACATCTGTGGACGGAGATGCGCACTGTCTCCTGCTGATGAATTCCCTCTTTCATTCCCTACCATCTACCCTAGTATCAGAACTCTGTTCAATGCCAGACAGACCTGAGCAGGAAAAACGGGACACCCTAGAAGCTGCTCTGCAAAAGACATTTTTTATCAAATCGCCTGAAAATTTTTCCTCCTTTGAAGGTGTTTAACAGAGCGGTTGTGGAAGTCCAGCTCTGTTCTGAGCTATCAGGCTTTCAACAAACTACAGATGTTGTTAGTGCCGCAGTGGTAGATGGTACTGGGAAAATCCAGTCTGCTTGGCTAGCACCTTCACAAACTGTTTCTATCTTGGGCTCTGTGTGCACAAGTAGTTTACTTTAGATTGAAATAACATTGATAAATGACATGCCAGTTCCACATGATTTCAGCTGGACTGAAATTAAGGAGCCTTAAAAAGTGCTTTATAAAGTATAAGAATAGAAGAAAGCTTCTCTGCTGTCAGGGGGTAAAAATGTTCTGTTTGGTGAAAGTGAAACTCGAGACAATCCAGAATTGTTTTCAATTGTTTTTATACCATGGCGTCTAAAAACTGACCTCACAATGATTAGATAAGCGAAGAATAACAAGGAAGTCCTTGTTAGTGAAGGTGAACTACCAAAAGGTGATGCTACAGTGTTCCCTGTTAGCCAGCTGATTGGATTTTCAGTGTATATCCAAAGTCTGAGACTTCTAGTGCTTTGGCTCCCTGAAATACTGAAAGTTAGTCAAACAGCTTACCAGCTTGCATGCTACATGGTGAGCCTTCCTGTTATCGTTCAGCCCTTGGGAAACTCAGATCACCTGGACTTCAGTCTGTTATCTGGTGGAGTAAAATCTTGTGTTCTTTATTGCACAAATGTCTAAGGGTTATACGTTCATTTGGGGGATGTTTTTAGGAAACAGTCAAGTGCATTGATAGTTAAGTATTACAATTTTTCCCTTTTTCAGAAGTGAGCTGCTGTTCTGAATGCACCCCTTTACCCAGTGTTAACTACTCTTCAAAGTCTGCTTTTTTTTTGACCTTCTCTGTTGGATTGTATTGCTATTGTATGAGGAGTCTTTTAAAGTGTCAGTGTACCATCTGAATCAAAATTAACACTTCTGAATTGCTCTACAGAGTGATATGATGAGCTAATTGTGCTATGTGATAATGATGCTTTGCAGCTTGTCTTTTGTACGTTCAGGTTCCTGAATGTTTGGCTTGTTCTTGGGGACTGAGCCCCAGCAAAGCTCTTGCGTTGGACTGAAAAGGGCGATGGAGCTTGAGCCTCGCTTGCTTACTAAGGGGTAGAACAGAAAGAGGGGAGACCACTTTCTAGATGCTTTATTTCTTCTGCAAAAGCTTCTCGAAAATGGGAGTCTGGCTAGATATGTGTTTCGTTCATGCATGGGACTAGTAGTAACCCCTGCTTGAACTGGCTGGCTTCCAGGTGTTACCATACTGGCAATATGTTTTTCCTTTTATTTTGACTTGAGGGAAAATCCTCAGACTTCAGTGCCTTCTGAAGCAATCTCTTGTTTTGCAGACAGTCAGGCTGTTGAATACCTTTAAGCTTTGCTGTTTGCCAATGCAGTTTCTGTACTTCTTGGTATGACTACTTGCTGCTTCTGGTGAAAGCACTTTCTCTGGACGGCTTGATCACATATGGCCCAGTTTTTAAATATGTTCTCCTCTGCAGACTTTTCTTGAAGGCAGCAGCTGTCTCTCACTCAGCTTGAGCAGGAATTGTGTATAAGTCAGTAATGTAAAACTGTGCAGACCATTTGTTTTAAAAAGTTGAGTGACTGTTGGGAAGAGCTGGTCATGTTGTCTTGTGGTCCAAGCGAAAACAAAAGTTTAGTAGCACATCTGTCCTAACTGTGAGTTAAAATAGAGTAGCTTTTTCCTCATGAGCCAACTAGCTCAATCATTTACAATGTGCTATTCTTATCTGAATGCATATTTTCTTCTGGATTTGAAACTCAAACCCACACCTCTGTGATCTCTTATTGCATCTTGAGGTCTGAGAGCAAGAAGGTGGAAAGACAAGGCAAGTGTGGTAGGTGGCTTGTTACCTTTCTAGTCAGCGGAGCACTGGCAAATTCAGTTCCTCAATATATTAACCTTTCTTAATAATGCAAAACGGCCAGTGATGTTATCTGTGGTCTGGTTTCTAATTTAAGCTCAAGTCTTCACTGCCATTGGTTTCGTAAAGATTAGCTATTGCTGCTGAGAAATGACCTAATTAATGGCTTTGGAGGAGGCAAGTTGCTCAACTTTCCGCAATTCAAAACTGTTTTCATGGCAGTAGCTACCGCTAGGGGACAATTTCCTTAGCTTACAGGAGAAAAGCAAGAGTTCACGACTTCCTTAGACCTTGCCGGTCTGCATTGCCATGACTGTGGTCGCAGGGTGCTGGGAAGGCACCCTTATGCAGAAAGGGTTGGAAATAAAATTGGCAGCGTTGGACTGTGGAAGACTGAGGACTCAGCAACAGCAAACCTAATTTTCCCAGTTAGGTACCTCTGTACTTAAACATGCCAGAGCCTGGATAGGAGCCAGGACCTTACCTGTTTTATGATATGACTCTTTTTTTTCCTGCCTCAGCTTAGCTATTTTTTTCTAGAGTTGCTGGGTTGGGGCTTTTAGACTTTTAACATCATTAATATTTAATGTTTGCTTGAAAAATTTTGCTTCGCAAAATGCTTTGACATTCTAAGCTTGAGTATCCTGGGTCTCCTGGTAGGCTATTCAAGAAAAAGCTTCCTCTTGCAAGCTTTCTTTTGTTCCCCCGGAGAGGTGTTCTTCTGTATTTACCAAAATCAATGTTAAAGGTGACTTTGCCATTGGTGCATTTCATGAAGAGCAATTAAACTTGTGCCCAGGCAAAACTTAAAATATTGTTTTGGTAAATTATTAACGATACAGCCAGTTGGGTCCTGCCTAATATGCTTGGCCTGGCATTAGATGTGTAGATTAGATACTGTATGAGGGAGTACATTCCTAGAAAGTTTAGTTTTCAATTAATAACAAGTAGAGGTGACAGTTCTGGCTGTGTATGAGAAGTACTAATGAGAGGTACTGCGTTCCTGCTCTGTTGATGTTGCCACGTTTGCTGCTGACACTTTGGGGGGGGCCTCAGTGTTGACTGAGATGAGTGTGTGACTGTTGATCTGTGGCTTCAGTCAAAGCATTGACAAGTTAACCTTAAGTGACGTACAGAAACAGGTATTGATGTCTTCAGCAGAAGAACTTTACAAGCTTCAAAGAAAACTTGAATAGTTCTTGTTCCTAAAAAATATACCTGAAAACTTGTTTGCATCCTTCACCTTTGGGTTGTATGCATCTCTTCCTTGATAGTTGTTAACAGCTATCAACTATTAAACTGCTAAAAGCGTGCACATGATGATCGTAGGACCCCAAAACAACGCTGATATACAGGTCATTTTGCACCAAAACTGTTTGACAGGGTCCCAGCAGACCATATAACTCAGCTTGTTTGCGTTAACTGCTTCAGCACAGGGAAACTTATGCAGACTTGAATTACCAATTCTTGCTGAGTTTGTTAGGTGTCAGCAGCATCCCTCCATCCTCTTGTTGCATCTGTGCTTGTGCCACCAGCACTGCACCTTCATCCCAGAAAAGATTCCTGTAACTGAACTAAAAAGCTTAAGGGGATGTAATGCTGGAAAGTTTAACAGTGTGGGGTTCCCGCGCTGGGCAGCTGAATTCGGAAGAGGATTTTCTGTTAGCTGCAAAACTGGAGCCTCGTCTGTGCCTAAGAGAAGCGTTGTGTTGGGACGGCACTGCCGGAGCTGCCTGATATCCCTCTGTGTCCAGAGGCAATCAGTGCACTGGGGAGGGAGAGGACAGTCATATTCTTCGCGTTGGTGGAACAGCACCAACCTGTGACCTTTAAACAGGGATGCTGGCTCCTGTGCTAATTAAATGCTTTGCAGTGACAGCTGGACAGCAACAGTTGCCACGCAAGCTGGGCTTCTGCTGCCTGCTCATCTCTGCCCTGCTATCATGACAGCAGCGAGCAAATCATTGCGTGAAAGGGAATGCTTCCTCCTCTGCTTTCATTAAAGCTGCCCTGTCATCCACCCGGGGCTAGCCGTTTGATTTGTTTCACACCTTGTGTCACAAGGAGGGGGAGAAATAGCTCTGAGCCCTTCTTTATTTTCCTTTGCACATGCTACTTTGAACCAATATTGGGATAGAACTGCGTTCTTTCACTTGGCGGGAGCAATCGGTGCCAGGAGGTTCCCGAGCAGTTTGTGTGCTCTGTAAAGCCGTTGTGGCAGAGGACTGGTTCAGGGTGCGGCGGTGGTAGCTGGGCTGACTGGAAAAGAATCACTGCTTTCATCAGGGTATGAGTTTGTGGCAGGAAGTTGTCATAAAGTGAGTAGTTAAAATTATTGATGGTCAGACTCAGTGTTTGTTCTTCTGCACCAAGTCAGTTTGAAGGCTTCTGTTTGTTTTGTCTGGGTCTAATCTGATCAAGGTATTCTCACATCTTCTCAAGAAAGAAATCCTTGAAATTCCTGTGCTTTGTGAAAAGGTTAGGTAAAAAAAAGCATATGCAAATACCTTATTGGTGTGTCATCTGCAGTCAATAACCACACCAGTATGTCCTGAAACTCTGCTTCATGGTGTCTCTAGATAGCGAGGTCATGCTTACTTGGCTTGTTTTGATAATATCTGGGTTATAAAACTGGTGCGTGCTTGCGGTAGGCACCTGGGTAAGTATTAGTAACCACCGCTTAAAGAGAAAAATGACTGTTTAACCAGGACTACTTTCTGTTACAGCGACAGCTAAAGGGCCAGGTGAAGAAGGCCGTTGAACAGTTACAGCTGCGCACCCTGAAGCAGGGGGACAAGGTATGACTGATCCCATCATCTCCCCAGCATTAGGGCACGCTCTTTGCGTGGAGCCCAGAGGGTCGGCCTTGGTACTGGAGCAGGATGCAGACGTCTGAGTCAGTAACTGTCTCTTGAAGAGATGGTTCCTCTTTCAGACCAGGTCCTCTTCGGGGGTGCAAGACTTTCCAATTCACACGTTCTCATAATTAAGATTATTTTTTTAGCTGCTTGCTTGTAGTCTTTCTGAGATGAGAGGTCCTAATTTGCTCACATGGATGCTTAAAGGTAAGCTAGTAATTATAGTCAGCTTCCCTGGCTATTCTTTTTGTAACTAAAACTGGAGGTAGCAGTTTCTAACCCTCTACAGTAGTGCCTCAAACAATCCAATGATGGTTTGCAGCTGGACTTCTAAACCAAGGGATTAAACTTTCAATGCTTCTGTTAGTGTCAGCTTGACTATGAGTAATCCCCATAATGTGTTTACATGCGGGAGCTGTCTTGGATTACTTTAGCTAGACCCTTTGTCTGCAGTGAATCTGCCTGTAGTTCAGAGGAAGCTCTTAAAGTCTGCTAACGCTGTAAATTAATTTCACTGCTTTAGGAAACTGATCCTGACGGAGATTGCTGTGCTGTGTGCCTCGAGCTGTACAAGCCGAACGAAGTAGTGCGTATTCTGAGTTGCGAGTAAGTTGTCTTCCAAAGTGCCCCTTAAACCAAAATCTGGAAGCATGCCTCTTGCTGGCTGTTCCTTCTGCTGTGTTAACAAAGCTGATCAAACTTTAATCAAGCTGTTGCACAGGAAGAATTCTTGAATCTCTGTCAGTGTTTTGAACAGCAGGAGCTGTGTAAATGCATACTTGTAGCGTGCCCCGATGGCCTGCGTTCATAACTTCCCTTGTGAGTGGATGGACTTGGCAGACCACAGGGCCTCCCTAGGGGATGCCAGGGCTTTTTAAAGATTTCTTCCTTTGCTGGTGTGTAAGAATGCTACCTCTAAATTGCAGATAGCTGGGAAACTAGGCCCATTTCTTGTCACTTAGTTTGCTGGTTACTGAGAGGGTTGTGCTCTTGCTAAACTTATTAAACCGTGCTAACTTTTGTAGCTTAGAAGAAGGCATTTCTATTTTTGTATGCATCATCTGAAATAGAGACCAAAATAGAGCTATAGCAGTTTATTTTTCTAGAATTCTCTACTGTTGTATCTCATTGCTGTGCTTCTGTGGAAGCCTGGTATTGTAGCACTCAGGCTTTAATCTGATTCCTCCTAAGATGAGCAATGAAGAGTTTTCAGGGCTTAAGGAAACTTGTTCTGTGGGACTTCCCCCTGTGCCTGCTGAATGGGCCTGCTCTGGCAAAGCTGCTAAAATCAGAGGGCGGCACCGTGAACTGCACAAATTTTGTATGGTAAGAGGTTTTGTAACCCTTGGAGAGGGTTACAGAAAAACACTTGGAAAAATTATGATGTAGGAAGAATCAAGTTCTGAAGAATGGAAAAATCTGTAGCTGCTGTTGTGTGCTGAGCAGTGTTATTTGTCAAACGCTATCAAATCTAAGCTGGGGTTACTTTTGCACAAGGTTACTGTTTTTCAAAAGCCTTCTTTGCTCTCTCAGCAGGACTTCTCAGCTGTTTTGGTATTATGAAGGTGGCCTGTTAAGGCATTATCAACAAACTTTCTTGATCTAATGCTTAATAGTTTAGAAAAAAAACAAAACTGAATAAGCTTCCTGGCACATGTGTTAATGATTATTCAGCTGTCTTGTCAGGTTTATGCTCGTAGGTAGTCCTGTTTAGTAATGAAGTCAGTCTCATGAGTAAAGAAGCATTTAGACAGGCTCTAGATGCTTTTGGCTGATAGGGAAATAATGTACAGTCCGGTCTCCTATCAGCTCTGCTAATCTTGATATGAACTTGCAAACAAAGCATGACTTGTGAGGTTAGGTGAGGAGCAACATTCTTTTGAATGTATTCTTTATACACAAATGTGCTGCGTTATGCTTTGCTCCGAGACTGCTTTTACACGTTTGTGATGTTTCATTCTGCTTTGGCCCAAATATAGCTCTGAGAGGCACTTGCTTAAGATGACTGAATTTGCTTGATAATCTTCACCAGTGGTGTTCTCTGCCAGTATCAACCATAATTAAATTCTCTCACATGAGTTATAAACTGATGTTTACTGCAAGAACGTACTTGATGTTGGTGGTTGACCTCAGCACTGAGACCCTACTTGTTGATATTGTGTAACTATATCTGTGAAAGAAACAAACAATTGAATGCTCCTGTGAGTCACATCGGTGGTATCCGAGTATCTGGGGTGTGTGTATTTGCAGAAGGCATTCTTGTCCAGATAGTCAAACTGAAGGCATTTATAGCAGCAGAGGTACAGAAGACCAGTATTAAGTCCAAGTACTTAAAATAGTCACGCATCAAGGAAGTCTCAGGTTGTATTCTAGCCATTACGTTGGTGCAGCTGGAGGTGCTGGTTTTATGGGCTGAACTGGAGAATTCTGGTATCGTACTGGGGCATAGGATGCTGAGCACTGGATGTGGTGATCTCTGCACTTGTCTCATAACAGATTTCTGATTAATATAGAGCAGTGCCTGTCTGCCTTGCTATTTCTATTCAGGCTGAGAGAACAGGCAAATTATGGGATTTCAAGTCTTCCTCCTAACTCTGTGGCCCAATTCAGACCCATTGTGGAACTGAGTATCTTCATACAACTGCACATTTGCATCTGTAATAGCTGAACTGTATTTACTTTTTTGAGTACACAGCCTGCCAAGTATCTGCTTGGAATACGCAGTGACTCCATAGACAAAGTAAATGTGTGGGAGTATCGTTTATCGTGAGGACGTAACTCTGAGATTGCGTAGTTTCAACAGAAACAAGTGCTATTTAGTCATCTGCATCTGCATGACAGAAGGCAACCTTAAAGCTAAGGCTGAGATGTCAATATTTGTCTTAAATTATCAGCTGGGAATGTATTGTACACAGACTTAAAAAGAATAGCGTAAGACTGATGTAACTAAGATGATAATGCTGAATTCTAGCAAGTTATACAGAGATATTAATAAGCATAAACCAGCTACAGGCTGACAGATCAATTATCCATAACTCAACTGAAACTCGTGGCAAAATAAGGTAATCCATTCCAGAATGAATAAATTGTTGGTGTTTCTAAATGGGCCTTCATAGCTGCCACATGAACAGTTTTCATGGTGTGAAACCTAACTCGTTGGTTACCTTCTTCCACCAGCCATCTCTTCCACAAGAACTGTATTGACCCCTGGCTTCTGGAGCACAGGACGTGCCCGATGTGCAAATGTGGCATCGCCAAAGTTTTCGTTGTTGAGGTAAGGCAGTAGCCTGTCTTAGTGGCAGATGCCATTATCAGTGTTATGCTAGTGTGGTAACCATGTATGGAGCTATTTCATGTTGCCTCCAGAGCATAGGTGATAAGCACAGGCATTGCCATGTCAGTGGTGAGATGCTACGGGACTAATTTCTGTGTCCTCTGTAGCGAAGCCTGCAGCTGACCTGGTCTGAGCTGGTATTACCTAAAGTCTTGGGCAGAAGGTCAACTGAAATTGATTGTAATGCATGATTGAAGAATTGCTCTTAGCTCTTGTGCTTGCAGCTAAGGGTGTTTCTCAGAGCTTTAGGCAGACTTTCACAACTCTGCTGTCCCTGAAACCAGCCTCTGTTCATTTACTGAGTACCCCGAGTCCTTGAAAAGCCAATGTGTTAGCATGTAGGGCTTTCCTGGAGCTGCGTGACTTTCTAGGTTACATAAGCAATTTCTGGTGTGTTCTGCAACTGCTCGTTGTGGCAAGTGCCAGGCAAGATGCTGTTGCCAATGCCTGACGCTGCCTGGACCAGCTAAAATGTATGCTGGAGTTTGCCTCGGGGAGGGAGATCTGACCTGAGTGGTGGGAAGAATCTATTTTCCTGGTACTGGGCAGTAAAAGCGAAGAGCTGGCTGAAGAAGGCAGAAACTGCATCTGAACTTCCTACTCAATTAGTCAGTAACTGGTTTTCACTACGATGCTGGAGGTTAACAGCAGAGATTTTTTTTTTTTCCATTTTAAGTTTTTTTTCTGGGTAGAAGTTCACTAGACTCCAGTCCTTGCAGGCACTGGTCTCCTGGAAAGGTACAGCCTCCTACAAAGTTCTAACTTAACCGCTTTCTTTTTTCGTAAAGGTGCATGTAGAAGAAGGGGCTGAGTCTGTGCAAGCCACAGCATCTAGTGGGATAACAAATATCTCTGTAGTCGACGAAGAGGATAATAGTGAAACTGCATCATCTGGGTATGCTTCTGTAGAAGGAGCAGATGAATCTGTTTTGGAGGAACACGCACCAACAGAAAGTATGTCTGTTGCTTCATCTGTCTTGCTAGATTGCTCTGCACTCTGTTGCTTATGCTGTGATTTAGGGGGCAGGTTGCCTTAGTAACATCTCAGTGCTTGAATACCTTGTTTTCCAGGGTAATCTTAATCTTCCCTTATGTTTTAGCACTTGGCTCTGACACTTGGTCTTTGTTTCAAATGAAACACAACCTAAATGTGAATTTAAAAACTGAAATCTATGAAAAGAGTAGCTGAAAATCAGAGGCTTACTACTTAAAGGCCAAAGATTTTTCTGAACATGTCCCTCATCTCATTGTGTCTTTGGAGATTTAATTTTGGATGAGTGAGTGTTGCTTTGTCACCAGATCTGTCTGCTTCAAGTAGCTAATTACTTACAGAAAACTTTTGGGGAGACAGTCCTGCTCTAGCTTAGATGGTGCAAAATAGAGATGACAAATACTTAATTGAATTTTGGATTTTGCCAAGTCTGAGTCATCTTTGAAGACTTTCAGAGAATTGTAATTGGAAAAGACTATAATCTTTTCCAAATACCTTATCTCTTTGAACAAGAGCAAATTAATTGAAAATGTCTTTTTAGTGCTCAGCTTGGCAACACTGAGCATGTGTTGGCAGTTGATATTAAAAAGGGAAAGATTCCAGGTAAACAAATGGACATAACTGTCCCCTGGATGGTGGAATGGCCTTGGGAAGAGGAGTAAGTGGGGAAGCTTCAGAGGTGAAAGGGATGCTCTGGCACGGGAAGCCTAGCTGATAGGGAAGTGTAGGATTTGCTGCCTGCCGCCTGTGGGACATGTTGTTCCCGCAAGCGCCCCATTTGGGCAGCCCCATAGGGCAGAGGGCACTAACAAGGTTAGTCTGTAGGGAGAAGACCTTCCTCTCCAAATCAGCCCATGTCCCATAGCTTATCCTGAACCTAGTCTCGTTGCTCCTGATGTCTGTCTTCAGCTATTCTAAAGTTATATAAGAATTACCAGTCTCCTTATAGTTGGATTTCATAGGCTCACATAGCCTTCTGCCACTTGAGCACACAACCTGGGCTTGCTCAGCGCTAGTGAGAAGGGACCTCTAGAGGTATCTGCTCAGCTCTGGAAGTGACAGGTAGTGTCAAGAATGGGCTCACAAACTAATGAGGGCCAGCAGAAGTGGTAATTGGAGCGTGGCCTTGGCTTTCCCACTCTGCAGGAAAAGTGCTGGGAAAAGACCACTGCAGTGGGCTTGTGGAAATAAAGTGAGGGTGGCTTGCTTAAGGTAGTAAAGCTTGCCTATGACACTTATTTAACTTGTGTTTTCTTGGTTTTATTCTGGACAGATGACAACACACGTCTTGTAAACAATGAATCCCAGGCCTCCACTGTGAATGTCCTTCCACACGTTGACAACCCAAGTTTTGAGGCAGACGAAACATAAGTTCGTGAAGTCAGGTCCTAAGAACATGCCTGGCAACGTGGCGCAAGTCTTCTGCAGGGAGCTGCCTACTGCCATCGCATGTATACCAAACATTGCAAGACTGTAGCATAAAAATGTTGCCTTGGCAATGATGAGATCAAATAGACTGTTCAAATCATAATTGTATGGTTTGCAATTCTTAAAACTGCATCTCCCATGTGGAATTTATTTTTAGCACTCTTCAAATAAAGCTGTCTTAAATATAAAGAAAACCATCAGATCTTAACACTAAAACAGAAGTTCAATCAGCAAAGCTTCTCTTCAGTGTTTGAGTCATTTAAATAAGGAGGAGATTCTTTGCCATAGCTGTCTTTACTGGGAATTGTTTTGACTTCGGGTTTTTTGCTGTTTATTGTTTTAATTCAAGTGGATTTTCATTGAAAGCAAATTGATTTTGATCTGGTCTAATACTTGTTTACCAGGCACAATCTGGTTTAAAGCAACACTGTATTTAATATTTCAGGGCACTAATTTGATAGGAAAAAGTACAAACTAATGCCTGTCAAACTGGATTTTGCCCACAGTGTCTTTGGTTATCTGGTAAACTGATTCTCTTACCTCTCAACTCCAACCCGCCAACCCCACATTCCTAAAGGGAAAAAGAGAGCTTCAAGCTGACAGGCCAAATTTGACTTGCACAATATGATAAAGGGAACAATTGCAGGAACTTTTCAGACCTGTTACTATTAGACAGTTTGAAAGAACCTCCATGATTTTTGGAGTTATAACCATCTCTAGCACCAGCAATATGCCAGAGTCCTGGCTTTGAGAGTCTGGGATGACTTCAGGAAGACTGAACTAAAGATGAAAAGGTAGATTCTTTGCAAAAGTTCTGCTGTTTTGTTCAGAAAATGATCCAGCCTCTGTAAAATGCTGGACTGTTGCTGCACACTGTCTTGCCTCTGTGCTAAAGCTGCGGAGAGGAGAGCTGACGTCCTATAATGCAACAGATGATCAGAGAAGTTGTCTGCCATCCATGAGGAGTTCAGCTGGTGTCGAGAAGGAACACTGGGTGCCTCAATAGTAAGTGCAGGGCCTTGCCCAGCGAAGGTAACTAAGGACATCTTACAGATGCACTTTATTTTTTTTTTTTATCTCTGTATCTATGACTTGTTTCTAACATTAGCAGAACCTTGTCTTAAAGGCTGCAGTGAAGTACTATTGAATCTGGAGGGGAAAAGCAATGCATTTTCTTTGCTATAGTACAATTAAAATTGTAAATATTTCATGATTTGTATTGAATTTGAATATGAAAATGTAAATAAAACTATATTTTGATGACCCTGACTTTTAATGTTGATTACCAGCTCTTACATGGAAACAGATGCTGAGCTTGCCCTGTCCCACAGCCCCAAAACTCATTCAGTTTTGGGAGGCCAAAAAGCAGCAGTGCTTGCTCAAACAAATTGGAATAAGGAGTGCTAATTTTGTGCAGGGTGCTGCTGTTTCATGGACTGAAATTGTGTGGAGAGGCTTAAGCCCAGCAGCTGCACTCTTACATATGTAAGAAAACCCAAGCAACTTAGGTGTGTTCAGTGAGCTGCTTGATGTGTTTCTGAACTGTTCCAGGCATGTTTGGCACACGGCAGTCTTACGTGAGCTCTTCAGATCAGACAGGTTGCATCTCGCTTCCCTCTGTCAGGTTGCTCAGTGTCCCTCCTGTGCTCAAAAGTTCATGCTTGCTTTGTAAGACAAAGCATTTTAAAAACAATTAAATGCGCTTTGTTCTGTGCTGTACTGTTAGAGGTAGTAAAAGCAAAAACTTGTCGTTCCCCTGGCCAGTTTGGTAGTAGTTAGTTGTGTGCTTGTTTTTAGCTCAATTCCAAGTCTAGTCTAGAAGCACTAGCTGGTTATGGGCTCAAATAGCAAAGCCGAATATAATCGGACTTCACTCTGAAGCTGTATTTTGCTGTGACCACCTTTCTGTTCTACATCTGAAGTGCAGAGAAGGGAACCACCAAGCATGTAAATATACAACCCCTGAACATTGGTGGAATCGTCTGCCAGTCTTCTGTGTTTACTAGGAACAAGACTTGACCTTCAAAAAAAAAAAAAGGGGGGGG